CAAGACGGTAACTTGTCTATCCCGTTGCGATACGAATTTGGCTATCGGTATCTTCGAATTCTTCGTTCTGCTCTGCGAGTCTCGATGAATAGTTTTCTAAGATTAAAAATTGTGCATTGAAGAGAAAAATAAGATAATTTCTATCCACTGGATTCTGAGAATCCCTCTTTCGTGATGTTCAACTTTGACGAATGAATATTTCTCGTTCCACGTGCTAGTTGCTTCGAGCAGTCGCATCGAAAGAGTATGCCGAGACCGAGACAGGATCGCAGTTGCGATCGTCTAGAAATTATTTGCATGCCATCGTCGGTGCTCCCTCGTCAATCCGCAATTCCTCGAGTTCCGCCAGTGGCTAGAACGAACGAATCCGACGGGGTATGGAATTCGCGGGAGAAAAACACGCGTCCGAGGAAACGGAAGGGTCGTGGGACGGATAAAGAGTGGAGGGCAAAGAAACGTTGGCAATAATTGTGATTTACGGTACGGTCGCGGACATAGCAAAGCGCGGCGGGTTTGTTTGCGACGCGTCACGTACGGGTATTTGCTGTTCGTTTAATAGAACAGAGACAAGTGTCGACATCCTTCCGACTAATCGTCGGTTCAAAAAATATATCGAATAAGATTGATAACAATGTTCCACGCGAATTTTAATCCGTCGTATCCATTCGGTAATTCTTGTAGAATTTTCTTTGCTGAGAACGAATCCGTGGTCGAAACTGCTCTGTCATCTTCAGTTTCCGAAAAGTTTCAATCTTCATAAAATACAATAATCTGCAAAAGAGAAAACACAATTTTCTTATAAAATTTTAAAAGGAACTTTTAAAATTTTCAATAGATGGAAAATGTCTTAATCTTGGTGCGTAGCTCTTAGCTTGATATCGTTTTCCAAAGATTGCTCTTTGGAAAACGATACCAATTACCAGGTCTCACCACGTGGAGGTGGCTACGCATCGAGACCCGACATGCGCCCTAATGGCGCAGCCTGCTGGCGCTACCTGTATCAAAGGTACCCTAATCTAACTTGGAGCGAATTAAGTTAAAATGACTCTACTGACACTTTATTATATTTCGTGTCTTACAAAAGGGATTTCGGTTCGGTATACTGAAACTCTACTGTCGCAACGCTAAGATATTTTCAAGTTCCCATAAAAATAGGGAATGAAATATCAAACACGCGAGCTAATAGAAAATCGCGACGCGCCCGAACGAGTTCGCGATTATTCGAAAGACCGACTAGCCTAGGCGATGTACTCCCGTGTACAGAGATAACTTCATACCTCGGCACCCTCCCGATCGGGCCTAGCTCAATTCCAGTCACTGTCGCACTCGTCAAGACTTACACGTGGACCAAGGATAGTCCCTGAACCAATGAAACTTCTAGTGTCAACGGGAGGGCCCAGCTGGGCGGTTGCCGGCCAAGACAGACACTTCGCATCCCAGCCACACGGGGTAGAACTTAATCATCCCTGTGGTCTAACCGTAGATGGTACTAGTCCGTCAGCCAGCATGTGCCCGAGCCCAAGTCGCGTACGACTTAGGCAGCGGACCGCCCGGTCGAGGTCAGAAGACGCACCGATTCGAGGGGGTCACCCTGGAACCCGATGCATGACGAGATTGACAGTGACTGGAAATGAGTGTCGGAGACGAGTCGTGAGGATGACTTACGAAGCATGTACTTATCGAGTACACGAGAGCACGTCGCGTAGGCTAGTCGGTACTTACGAACGATCGCGATTATCGCGAGAACAATTATGTTCTATTTGCTAAACGAGGGGGATAAGAAAATGATAGAGAATTTATAAATTTCGCTCCAAATTAGGTAGCTTACCTTTGTACAGATAGCGCGCACATGATACTTAGTCTATGGATCTATCTTACGATTACTTAAAAGTAAACGCACGCATCGTCCATTGATGTGTCGCAAATGAAGTCTTGAGAAACCTAAAAGCTAAAACAGAATATATTAGTGTTAATATGTAGCTGAAAGGAAAGGGATTAGTACGAGGAAACCATCAATGTTAATAACCAAATGGAACGAGCAAGCCAACGACGAGACAGAAACAATCCAACGATGGGACAAAACAACCCAACGATGAGACAGAACAACCCAACGATGTGACACAAACTATCTAACGACGATACATTCGAATATTATACGAAATATTCGAATTGTCAAATGAAAATAAATAGAAACGAAAGAATAGAAGCTGAAAGTCGAAAAAATAATTAATACCTGGAAGAAGGAAAAAAAATTAAAACCTGAAAGAAAAAAATAATTAATATCTGAAAACAAAAATAAAATGATTAGTAAATTGTTTAATGAGGTGTGGTGTGGGTGGGGGTAGCCAATCCCCACCTCACATCGGATCCCACCCCTTCGCGCACTTATTAATTTAGACGTGTCACTTCCGAAGTCGAACTGACAAATGAGTTCTGAAGCGTCGCGTCGCCCTTTATATAGTCTCCGATCGGCCGAGCCCCCCCACCCCAATTAAAAATTTTAGAACTTCGCAGATTTCATTATTTATAATTTTTCCGCTTTAATAGCCAATAATTTATTGATTTTTTCACTTTTATTATAAATATACGTTGCGAGAAATTTGTTAATAACAACATTAATTCGTTATTAACAATTAATGTAATAATTTATAAACGTTTTGTAAATTGTATATATATATTCACATGAATATGTTGTAAGTTCAAGTAATAATCATTAATTAATTAATCTTTATCAATTTTATTATATATATACGTTATGAACAACTTGTTATTAACAATATTAATTTGTTATTAACAATAATGTTTAAGATTTACACGTTATACATATTGTATAAGCTATAACTGCATTCGCACTTGCATAGAATGAATATCTATTAGACATATGTGTATGTTAAAATATTTTTATTTCTTCGGTGCTTTTATTTTACTAAAAAATCGCGTCTTTTTATAAAAACTCGCATTTTTTGGAAAATCACAATGATAGCATAATTTCGATTACAAATTCTTGCTCAGGCGAGTGAGCTCTACTTGAATCGCGTAATGGATATTACAGCTCACGCGAGAAGTAAAATTTCGTTGGAGAGTGTAATAGTTTGAATTCGTGTTTGAAAATTAACCCCGTCATTCGAAGAACGCCACGAGTCTACGACAAATAATCTCGTAGTTACATTTTCGGTTATTAATCAGGGTTCCACGTGTCTCCATCGAGAACAAAGATCAGCCACACGGCTGTTCCCATTGCAAAATCTGTTACTTTTGTCGTTCTAAATTTCAAACTTTCAAATTACAATAGCCGTCAGCGCGGATGAAACAATCGGCCGGTAGATAAATCACGAGTGATTCGAAATTACTTTCGCACACAGCTATCCATCCAGATTATTGCAATCCCCGGCGCCCAACACCTCATCTATACACACCGGCGCTATTTATCAACGCAAGGAACAATTACTCGCGTTCGCAGAAGCATTTTACCAAGAAACCAAGACTGTTGACGCAACAGCCCGATTCGCAACAAAGGATCTCGCGAAACGAGTCCGCCATTCGACAGGCAATAAACGAGCGTGCACGAGCAAATATCGTTCCTCTCTCGGAAGAGAGATAGACCGGCCAGATTTGGCATAAGAAAGGCTTAGAAGAGCATCCGACAATAGCCAGTCTCCGGTTCGAGACTTCCAGATGACGCTCCTCCTCCTCCTCCTCCTCCTCTTCTCTCTATCTTCCCCTTTGCTCTTCCTTCGCCGCGTATCGGTGCCCGAGGGTAGGACGCAATCAGTGGCCTTGATTTATCGCGGCAATATACATTAAGATACCGACATTAAAACTAGGGGAGCCTCCCGTGGATTCCTGGCTCCATTACCGCTTACGAAAAGAGAGGAGCTGTCGTCGCGTCCACCCAAACAGCTTCGGCACCGACGAAGATTGAATCCCTGTTCCGATGTTCGTCTTCGGTGAATTACTCGCACCGCGAGTCTTTCCAGTTTCTTCCACGGTATTGCCGTGCTCTGATAGACCTTGCTCTGATTCAAGTACTCGAATACATCGATATTCTTGAGAAAGACATAACTATTCCGTATAAAACTCTCAGAATAGGGATGACGAGGCCTCCAAGGGTGACATGAACACGTCTACACAGTCGATGTCACGGTGATTCGTTATTATTTCGAGCTGTTAACGAAGTTGCTGCCGTTTCTCGCAGAAGAGACGATACCGAGCCATTTTACATGCCTCGCGCGAAATATTTATCCGTCAATCCGACTGCGAGCTGTCACCGCGTCGCCATTTCGCAGCAAGGAGACGTTTCAGCATACGTATGACACGCCACGCGTGGAACATGTTAATGCACGATGTATTTTTAAGAGTCGAAGGCAATTAATTCAACGCTATTTCGCTCTCGCGCGATTTATGGCAAGGACTTGTTCCACGAGTGGCTAGAGAGAGCGCAGGTAAGAATAGCTAACACTGACGGCCGAGGATGACTGGTGACTCAGAGGCACGTAGCTATCGAGTGTCGTGGAATTGATTCCATGCAATGGAAGAATAGGAACATCGATGCTAGAGGATCTAGACATGGAAGAGTGGAGAAAGAGAACGAGTTAGCGCTCATCCTAGATCCTAGAGAAACGAGCAGTCGCTTTGTTCCTCGGTATGCTCAAAATTAGTAGAAAATTTAAGCTTTTACTCGTGACATCGACTACTTACTATACACAGCTCGTTGGGTCCCTTTGCAGATGAAGACCACAGCGGAAAAATTACAAAATTTTCAAAATTTCTCGAGTACATTGCGTTGAAACTGTCCCATGTACCAATTTATTGATACAAAAATCGAGCAACAAAGATAAATTGATCGCGTCTTCCGCTCTGGTCTTCAAACGGTAACGATGTCCGCGTCCTTTCAGAAAAGGAACCGACAACCGTGTGCGATGCTTTCAAGGGAACCGACGAGCTTTACCAATACCCTCCCGCCAATTACAGGACAGTGATCTAACCGTAGTAACGTGTAGTGTTTCCGCCATTGTCCGCAGGTCCGAGCGGGGCGTACAGTCCGGACGCGACGATGGGCTACATGATGGACGGACAGGCGGCGAGCATGATGCACCGGCCGCCCGGTGATCCCACCTTCCACAATCAGTACCATTACCCAGAGTACTATGGACATCACATATAAAGGTACGTGGGAAAGTAGTTCGGCCGGTTCCGTGTTGTCGGCGCGACGTCGAACACGACGTACACCGGCCCGGTGGTCGTTGTTGATTTGATAATCGAGTCGGTGACGAGCTCGATGACGATGGAAAGATTGATGGCCGGAAACGAAGATCGAACGGGTGGTTAAATTGGTGAACGTCGAATACTCGGGTAGGGTGGTGCGGGGGTGGAAATTTCTCGCGAAACACGAAACGTCGCTTCAGCCATTTAGGCATCCCTCGAGTTTCTTGAAATATCGGGAACCGTGACGGAATCGTAGACTCTAACAACTCTTGTTCGATCGCTTCGCTTCGAAGAAAGCTGTTCCGGATGCTAGCATAGTCGGTGGTAATCGGCGAGGATTGAGAATTACCGGTAGCGGAGAAACGGTTCTTTCCATCGTTCTCGGAGCAAGTTTCTGGAATAGGCGGTGTCATTAATTGCTGCTGATCTGTCACGTTCCAGCAGTAGTCGCAAGTGAAGGTAGACGATGGAATGACGGTTCTTGCGGAACGGGAAACGTAGCAGCGTGACGGAAGCAGCGTGCTCCGGTTGGCGTTAGAGCAAGGTGCACGGGGGCAACGAGGAGCGATTCGTCGCCTGCGGGGCGTGATCGACGCGGAAGCGAAGAGAGATTTTTCGCCGGCGTGGCACGTCGAGGCTCGTGGTGCCGGCTGCTCGAGCCAGGAGCGCACGATGCGGACGGTGGAAGCGGAAAAAGCAGCCGTCGGGCCGGTTCTGGGCTCGGAAACGGAATGTCGAGGGGAAATATCGGTGGTTCGAGTGGAAGGACGAGGCGTTCGTTGGTCGGAGGAGGAACCGGAAGCGGAAGGACTCCGATGGCGCGAACGAAGGAGGACCGACCTAGGCGTGGAACGCGTGGAACCGGAAGCAAGATGGCTGGTGCGGAGGAAAGAAGAAGATGGGTGGAAGCGGCGCGGCTTGGAGAACGAGGAACGAGGAGCCGCGAGAGGAAATTCATGTGATTGTTCTGTGTACAAATGTCGCGGTGTAATATTGTAGTGATCGAAGAATTTAAATGTTAAATTTTAATACGGTCGCGATCGAGCTATTATTAATTAACGATTATGTAGAGAGGACGGGGAGAACACGACGAGGTAACCTCGAACACAGAGTGATATAGGCAATTTCTAGCGGGCATGTGTACATTAAAAGGGGTGGTTAAAAACGAGGAGAAAAAAAAAAATAAAGAAAATGTAAGGAAAGCGGGAGAGGGGGGAACGAGGCGAACCCGGTGCTCGCACGGATCCGTTTATGATAGATAGATGTCCACGTGTGCAAGAGGCGACGAAACGAATGGGAAATTCTAGTGGCGCGAACCAGGGGGTGAACGTTCGACGAAGAATTCGAAGAGATCGAGCAGTATGTATGTATATATATATACACACAGACAGAGCGCGCGGAAACAGGAACGCATCCATGTGTATAGATATATACGGGTATATAAATAAATATAAATAGAGAAAAGAATTTTAGATGCGCGGTGGGTGGCTGGTTTAAAACTGACGAGGAACGAGAATAGGGGGATGATCGGAGACCGGTCGGTTTTTAACGGATATGCACGCACGCGCGCGTACAAAGCTAATTGCAAATGCGAGGAAAAATAAAACTGGGTGCGAGGGTAAAGAAGATAGGAAGTGGGAGAACTAATGGAACAAATTTAAGAATAGAGAACAAAAGAAACGTTTAAATGAGGGACGACGACGGAGAAAGAAACTTTTAGGACAGAAGAATGAAATCGACGCGTGTGCCGGACTCGAGCGTCGACCACATTCACTTGCATATATATATAGGTGACATTGAAATTTGTACAGTTATTAATTATAAATGAATTTACTAATTAAAGGAAGAAGTAATTATATATTATAAATATATACATAACTGAAGTAACATGTGGCCCCCCCCGGTTGTAATATATATATACAAGCGAGCGTTTTAATTGGACTTGGGACGATAATTATTCTCGTGTGTGTTGTGCCGTGTTCGGTGTGCGTACTGGACCGAGGAGACGCGTCGGAAGAGAAAGAAGTGTGAGAGAAAGAGAGTGAGAGAAAGAGAGAGAGAGAGAGAGAGAGAAAGAAAGAGAGAAAGAGAGAAAAATAAAAGGAGCAAACGAGAGGCAAGAGCGGAGAAGATACGCTGAAACAGACACGAGGATGGTGCGCGAGAGTGTGTGAACGCGAGAAAGATAGTATACGCGAGCGATATTAAATATATAAATTCAAAAATATAGATACCTGCGAGTGGATCAGACGGTTCTTCATCGTCCACAGCTCGATGACGCAGTCAGATCCCTCCTCCCCCACCTGATCCGACTCCACACGCATAGAAAACGATACACAGTCACCTGGACACACACGTACACAGGCATACAGAGACGAAACACACGTACACACAGGCGCGAGTGAAATGAGCGTTATTACCCAAGCCCCGTCTCCCCGCACCGTAAGGATAATTAATAAACGAAACGAAAATGAGAATCTAAAACAGGCGAGGGCCGAGTACACGATCTACGGTTTAATTAATATAATATATCGCGTATAAATAGTTAATCGAGTCGCAGCGAGCGCGAGGAGGGAGGAGGGCAAGGGAATCGAAGATTGGCAAGGCTCCACGAGAGGTGTTTGCCCGCGAGCGCGCAAACTCCTCTTCCTGTCTCTTCCTGTCTCTTCCTGTCCTTTCCTGTCCTTTCCTGACGTTTCTTTCCATCTTGCCGCGCCGCGGGGAGGTGAAAGGGCTCGGTAATAAACGGAGAATCTGTGGACCAGTGAGATCCTCGGCGAACGGTGGAGGGTGAATCGGGAAAAGCGAGCGACCACCAGGAAACATCGTGTCGGGACGGTCCGTCTCTTTCGTTCTCGTCTTCTTTGCTTTCCTGCTCACTCCATCCGTGATCCTTCTTTTCTTAAATTAGTCACGTTTCGATAACGAACGACCGCGTCGTTCGCGTAATACTCCGACCCGTGTAATCCTCTGTGTAGTATCGATATCGAAAACTCGAAACGGTGCTGTTTGTTTCGTTCGCCACCATTAGGGATGGTAATCGAGTTTCACCCCCTTTCGTCCATTCTCATCCCCCGCGTCTCGACGTAGAACGAATTGGCCCTATAAGACGTAATACCAGCAGCTCGCTATCCAAGGAAAAGAAACCATCGGTCTGGTTTCTGGATCAACGGGGAGAAGACTTTGCGCGGTATCGCGGTGAAATTCTCGAGGATCGTAATCGAACGACGCCATAGCGTGTGCCTCGAGCGCGCAGGCAGAGATCGGGAACCAAGGAAATTCCGAGTATTGCCAATGATGCGAGATCGACTGTATCTTCGTCGAAATTTTCTCGATTCCCGGGAACAAGCTTGGAAACGAGATGAAATTTCGCCCCAAGTACCAAGGACCTTGCTACGAAACTGTTGATCGGTGCTCAGGATCGATCGAACTTCCGTCGGGGTCCTCGAAACGATGCAGCTCGTGAATGTAATCGCCGTGTACATTCGACGGAACGAGTCTTGGGACCGTCTTCAAACCGATCGTCCAATAAAATCGCGACAATCCTATGGGCCACTTCGATCTCCGCGCTTTTCTCGTCCCTTTTCGTACCGCGAATAACCTTCGATGTTTTCCGAAATTATTCCTACCGTTTCGCACTCTCTTTCGACCAAACGATTTCGCGTAATTGCAGTAACCTTACAGTTATCGGTATAATTTCTTTCCGCGGAAAGCAACGTTCCGTTCGACCAGTCTTTTTCGGGACTTTTCCACGCGTTAATTAAAAATTCGCTTTCATTCGCTATTAGACTAGGAACGCAGGAAAGAATCGAAGAAAGAGGGAACGAAAGAAGCAGAACGCGCATAGAGGAAGAGGAAACACGAGCGTGACGAATTTCCGTAGCGAGAGAGGAAAAAGTGGAAAACTTGATCGAATTAAGCGTAGGTAATACGTCAAAGCGAAGCCGCGTGGAAAAAGCGCGCGAAATTCGAAAGCGCTCGGCCCGGTTACCTTTCGACGATTGAACTGATCGTTCGACTAGCGACAGGCAACGGGGAAAAATGGAACGATAGTGAGAAAGAGAGAGAGAGAGAGAGAGAGAGAAAGAGAGAGAGAGAGAAAGAGAGAGAGAGAGAGAGAGAGAGAGAGAGAGAGACTGCGAGAAAGGGAAAGCGAACGAACGAAAGAAACGCAGAGCATACGAGACAAATTTTATCGATATTTTCAATACGCCCGCATACACGCAAATCTTGTATAAAAATTTTAATGTAAACACACACTGCTCTTGCCGCGAGTCGCGGTGCTAGAGGAAAAATCGATCGCGTCGTTTCGCGAGCTACCTGTTCATCGTCGCGACGTGACGATCCGTCAAATTGAGCTCGTTAAGAACATCGAACTTCTGCGAAACGTGAACGCGAAACGATCGTCGACTTTTCCTAACCGCGAGCGTAGCGACGTATTAGTATACTGAAAGAAAAAAAAAAAAAATGATAACCCACGTATACCGAAAGACTCAGGTGCGAGAGAAGTCAGTTATAGGTCCCGGTTAATTGGAGAAATTCCCGACACTCGTCGAAACCAATCGCGTCCGACTTCTGACCGGTGAGCGAGCGCACGCGAGCGTAGCTCCTCTTCGCGAGCGCTGCGATCGATCGTGCGATCCTGCACGCGCGAAATTCGAAACTCGAAACTCGACGAACGTCGAATTGTCCGGAACGAGAGGGCGGCAGGGAAGAGGAGATAGCTGATAGAAATTGAAAGCGAACGTTAGCGTCACGTTTCCCTGGTTGAAATTTCTCGACGACCTGGTTACCTGGATACACGGTATACGAGAAAACGCGAAAATAGTAGAATCTCGCGCGCGCGTCCGAAATCGTCCCGCGGCCACGACGAGTTTTTTAACGTTTTAACGCGACCGAGTTTTCCAAATGTTTTTAGTGAAAGCTTTTTACGACAATGGGGACCCAGACTTTTTACCGTTCACCGACACCGTATCGTTCCCACACGCAGAGTGGTTTTTTATCAAAGAAGACGGGTCTCGTCAGGGCCAGGGCATGGGACGATCTCGCGACGCCCGGCGAGCAATCGCATAATTCATAATCGATTATCAAGTACGAGACAATCATGGAGACGAACGCGGGTGGTCGACGAAAGGGCGTACGATCGGGGGCGTTCGCCGACGGGGCGACGCGTTTTTACGAATTCTATTTGTTGAACGATATATTGTTTAATTTTGTTGATGTCCGACCCGTTGGCCGTCCCCGATTCCGCGTCGAGTCGTCGTCGCGCATACGAGAAATTTCAATGGGAATCTCTGCCTAACGTTAAATTTGACAAAGGCCAAGGAACGAAGGGAACGATGGACCGTCGTTTCTGCCTGTGATCGATTGTTCGAGCGATCGGGAAATCCCGAATCACCAGCCACGGGACAGGGGTGACTAAATTATTTTTTCATGGCGAAGAATCGACGGTCCGACGGAAGGAACGCCCCGGAACGCGAAGTTGGCTGCATTTCCGTCTCGTTGCGGGGTGCGAGAGCGTGGTGGACGCGCGTACGAACACGGCGCTCCGTCTTTTTACCCCGCTCGCTGACACACCACCCCCCCGGCCCTCGAGGTCGGAGAACGCGATCAATATTTTCGTGGAAATGCCCGGCGACGCGTTACGCGGCGAAGAAATGTGGAAAGGGACGGAGAGAAGGGCGGGAAAGGGGGATAAAAGTAAAAATAAAAACGGAAGCAGGATCGCACGAACGATTAACGAGAAGAGCCTATACAAAGGGGCGCGAGATGTATAGGCGCGTGAAAAGAGAGAAAAAATGGAAAATAGAAAGCAGGAAAGAAGAATGGAAAGATGGGAATAGCGTTCCGACGGTTGCGGAAGGGATGCGAAGACGGCGGCGAACGGACGACGTTTATTGGCTGTTCGTTTTCTAAATGAGTTCACCCGATTGAATGAATCATCGCCTTAAAAATGTATACGAAGTAACAGTAAGGTATCTAAGTAATAATCATGTTAGAGGGTAAAGAAACTTAAAACAAAGATTTTATGAGCGACGACAACAGCGGCTATACGGCAACGAGAGAACGAGAGAGAGCGAGAGATAGAGAGAGAGAGAGAGAGAGAGGGGATGAAAGAAATCGCATGCGAGAGTGAAATAACCGTGCAAATGAAGAAGACATGCGTGTGCGCGTGAAAGGAACACGGGGATGAAAGGAAACGAGCGAATGGAGTAGAGTGACCGGGAAGAAATGAAAAGATGAAGAGGACAGACAGAATGCGAGGGGGAGAGCGAGGGGGAGAGAGAGAGAGAGAGAGAGAGAGAGAGAGAGAGAGAGAGAGAGAGAGAGAGAGGAAGATGAATAAAGAGTAAGAGTGTAAAAGAGAAATAGGAGGGAAAGTAATGTATAATTATCGTGTAATTACGGAAGAACGACGATGTTAGCAACCATGTCGCCTGCGTTGGCGGCGATGATCATAATGACGACAGCGATAACGAGGGTCGGACGGTTGTCGTCCGCCTGAAGATCGCGGCCAACGTCATTATGATCATCAAGCGGTAAAACGATTACGATAACGCTGATGATGATGCTGATAACCACGATGATGATGCTGATGATGATATATGATGATGATTATGATTATGCTGATGGTGACGATGATGTGTATAGTAAGCTAAAAATTTATTATATCGGTATGGAATCAGATTTTTTCAACTGTTTGCGTATTGACGACCTATTGACACCCTTAAGTAAAAAAGAAAAAAAAAAAATAAGAAAAACAAGAGGCAACGGCAAATAAATTAACACGAAAAAAAGCAAAAAAAAAAATGGAAAAAAAAATAACGAATCGAATCGAACTGTGTTCTGTTGTTTGTGAATCGACAAACCGCTTCTTCGATCGTCGTTCCGCACGATTGTGATAGCGCGACGACGCGGAAATTACGATACGCGCGTGGTCGTGCGGAGGGGTGGTTCCTCCTTCGACCCCTCGGGTAAACCCGGGGCGAGGATGTTCGTTGATCCAACGCTGTCGATCCACGTGTATTCTCGCCTCTCGAGACGCGCGCGCGGAACGGAACAAGGGCAGCCCGTGAAACAGAACAAAACACAGTGAACGGAAACTGATACCTGTCGATGTAAAATATTAGTATTAACGTACGTGGGATTACGTGCACACACGCGTCCATCCGTTAACAGAAATGTGTCTGGACACGCG